ACTGCTTTTTTTCGTCGAATCTTCGATGTTGGTCGAATTCATTGATGTTAAAATTTACAAATAACTAATCGATATATTGGTTCCGAGTCTTTGATAAAAAATCAGTAAATCCCACACGATGCGAGAGATTATTTAATTTTTTCGGCTAATATATCACTCTTGCAAGCTGAATAATCGAAACTATTAGTCAATGATTCAGGCAAAATCGATACAAGGCGGCACTTTGATACTACTCGTGCATCTTTGTGAATACTATATTTTGTCTTTTTTAATGTAATTATTCTATTGACTAGTATAATTATTGACTAGTATAAACTAATATTTTGAGCTAGTTATCACTTTTAGGGTATTGTACAACTATCAACGCGATCGGGCGATAAATACTAATCCAACTGTTAACGATAAATAGAAAGTTGGTCAATACATTTACGTATAAAAATTATAAAACTCTGCGTCAAGAGATTAGATTTTTTGAATTGTACACAGTAGAAATCAGTATTGTATGATCAAGAGCTCACTCGTTCGATTGTTTTCGAGTGAGTTATCAAAAACAAACACATGAGGACATCGCGCATTTATCAACAAACGTCGCCCTAATGTCTATGATTACCAACAATAATGCTCGATCTTTTGTGGTCGATATGTGCCATAAATTTTCGTCCATCAATCGACAACTCCATCTGCCGTTGCTCTATACATTTTTTCTCCTACCTGTGCGCGTGCGTGCACAGATCTATCGAATACATTTGTATAGGCAGTGTACGAAATATATGTCCGTAAGAGACCTCCCTACTTTTTTTCTGTATCGACTTTTTTCTATGGCCCTACCAACGGAGGTAGCAGCTGTTTAGGAGTGTACATGTTTCTTGTAGCATCGTCTACATGTTACATCAACCGCATTTACAGACCGATGGATTCTTAAAACTCGGGGCGATTATCACACTTTGATCGGCTCAGACAGCCGTTGAAAGAGCAGCGCGTATAATACATTGTGTAATGCATTCTGAACGTAATACGTACCTATACCTTTCGGCACTGTTTTGTACTACGGCAAAAAGGATATAGATTTTTCTTTCTCAATAGGCTAATCGCGCGAGATCACGATGATATCGTGAACGCATTGTTATTATGTTCGTCATTTTATTAGCTCTATCCGAAAGTGATTTATTCTTGTCCATTTGTATATATACATGCAGTAATTAGCCTCGTCATGTTTCACGGCTATGCAAAGTCACGCCTTTGATTCATACATGTGGGTACACGTGCACGCTTCGATATAGATTTAACCAACGAACATTTTTGAATAAAACATTGTTTCACTCTTCATAATGAATGATCAATTTTTCATGACTCTTTGAGTGATAAAACCCAATTCTTTTTGCAACACTTTCATTTTAATAAACTATTTATTTGGAGCAGGCGAGTATGTGTGCCGAGATAGGGAAAAAGGCCAATGAGAAATTGAAAAAAATTGACGGAGAAAACGCATTATTTACATACAAATTGGTTCGAAGCAATTTTTTTTCAAAGAAATTTTCGAATAGCTATTTTAATAAACCGGAGCAGGGTATTTATTTTTCTCGATAAAACATACGCATAAAATTCCAACTTTATCGATGAATTATTTGCTCTATTCTTGGTTCGAGTTCGGTCGTTACGCGCGCGACATTCTCGTCCGGTCGACGTAACTCGTCCCCAGATCGCCCATTAAATTATCTTAATAGAACAATAAAATGTTTCAATCTTAAAAAAGGCGCGTCTTTCTTGCTCTGGCTCATTAGCCGCGCGCGGGCTGAAAAGCCAAAAATGATCGTCTCATGCCGTATATCATCGTCGAGGCCTAGCTGATTAGTAGAACGACTATAAAATTACCGTACACTTCTCGCTAAATAGGCCTATATACGTACACCAAGATGTGGTGAATCTTAAGGCCTTCGAAAGGCTGGTACAAGCGAACACATGTAATATAACAGAGCGCAGAGCATTAAGAATTACATCGCGGCGTCGTGAGAATATTAATAAGCGACCGCAGAGCAATTTTGAGCTCGTTGACCGACTAAGAGTGTCTTCAAGACGCAGTTCGCAGACGAAAACAAGACAATTACAATCGCCTCGGGCTCACGTCACTATCGCTTTTAGTCCTTGAAAAGAAGACTCGAGATGAAAAAAAAAAGGAAAAAGCTAAGACCATTGAATCGCTTAGACAATGAGTACGAGACGTTGTTCGCGAACGTGGCCGCGTGATTTCGTATTTTTAAAAATGAGAAACCATTGATCTTTTTTAAATGGTATGTATAAGTAGCTGCTCCTACGCAGTACACGCGCGAGCTCCTCTTTTGAAAATCATGTCCATTTAAACGCCGCGGCTACAACACGATAACATTTCTACGAAGCAAACTTTTGCCCATTAAAAAAACAGACGCTCTGTATTTCACGCATGCCAATGTATACCCATGCAACAAGCGCCAGTTTATACAAATATAAGGATCGTATTTGCAGAAAATACATATTCAAATCTGTCCGAGTCTTAGCAATAGGCGCTCATAGATCGAGCTGAGACGTGCGCGAATCAAAACTTTTTTTCGTTAAAAACAATGCCGCGAGCTAGACGTGCAGATGGATTAGACGGATTTATTGAAACGTCAACTTTTCGTTCACACGCGACAGAGCTCCATCGCTACATGTACAATGCGGCGGGCCTAAGCCGCAGGTAAAACAAAGGCCTCCATTGTCAACGCGGCGCTGCGAATTATGAATCGTGAGAATAGGCACATTCGAGTACATCGATCGATAATCCCTTTTGCATTTAGGGAGCCAAAGCCAATCATATTTACATCATTTATGCATCGGGTGCTGCTGCCAGGGCGTACATGTGTGAACGCTACGGCAGTCAGTACGTGGATTAAAAATCTCGTTGGACGATAGAGTGCAATGGGCGCGGATCACTTTATCGCAAGCGCAGTTTTTATATATTTCAAGTGAGCACTTGGCCACTGGAATTGTATATATATCATTCACGCGTTATGTACGTATGTATTCGCATGCGCGTGTATAAGCACTCGAAGCCACACACGTGCTTATAGAGATGATGGGACGAGTTAAGAGCAGCCGCGCGTCAAGTATCGAGAATATTGAAAATGATATGCCGGCGTTATGTTATGTATGTAGTGTACAACCGTATGTATTATTAAAGCACATTGTGGACATAGGAACATCGTCGGATTATCCGCTCACAACTCAAAAGCCAACGTTTATTTTTAATCCGCATCGAGGATCGCGCACTACCGCGTTGACGTCCCTCTCGGAAATTCTTTTTTTCTTTATTCATTTTTTTTTGAACTCTCTTAGATTCGCGTGCGAGTAGCGTGTCCGTCTGTATTCATAATTGGGGAAAATGGCAAAATAGCACGCAAAGAATAGGCTTTGAATTTCTCAAAGTCTAAGCGAGCAATATACACTTCAGCACTTTGGTTGAATGAGAGTTGTGCCGCTACTGCTGCCGAGGAGATGCCAACTTCTGCTATATTATAGCCAAGGATCTCTTACGTAGCCCGTGTGTGTATTGTGCTACTCGGGGAAATTATAATGATGAAGCGAGTCGAGGGTGAGCAATGGCCGAGGCTATTTTGCCCATAACCGATCGCATTATGTACATTATTATGAACATCGTGTATCGTACGGCGAATAATATAAGGAACGCGCGTGTGCGTGCGCGTGACAGGTCGACTCTCTTGTCCATGTCCACCGTTATGTATACACATGGAAAGCCTCTGCTGTATACAGCTGCAGCAACAAACTTTGCTCCGGCTATTGCTCATACACACGGCAGTGGAGCATCATCAGCGACGACGACGACGACGACGCGCACGACCCAAACATCTCATCGGACTTGGCGCGCACAAAAGGGAGCGGACAAAAATCTTCGTGTTCGTACACATATACCATGCGATCGTCTCTGATCGCGGCCCACAAAAGAATTGCCATAGCAGCAGCGATCGACGACGAGATGCGACACGGCAGGCCCTATTATCTTTTCTCTCTCTCTCTCTTTCTTCCTCTATACGTGCGTGTATGTTTTTGGCTTGCGCATATTTTGGTCCCTTGTATACCTACATGCATACATGCGCATATACATGGCTTACTGACTCTCTCCCCGCCGAGTACAATAGGGGCGCCGCTCCTAAGCGGCCTAAGGCTCCCCCTGAAAACGGCCTCACGGCATTGCACCCGAATAATGGCCATGCAGCAGCGGCGGTAGCAGAGCTAAAAATTTAAGACTCCGTGTTGTACATGCACGTATAAATGTGTACATTATAATATGTGAGAGATGCTGAGTACTAAACGCTGCTACCTGCTCGGCTCTTTCGAAATCCGGCTACAAATATCACCCACGTCTTTTCAATTCAAGAAATTTTTCTTATTGAATTCTTCGTCATTTTTTTAACCTGTAGCATTAACTAATGAATTAAACAAATTATGAAATCAAGTCATAAATTTTACATATTTATTTATTCCACGCAATGCATTTGTACACCAAATTTTTCAACAGTAATAAAACAAAAGCTTACACCATCAATAACTTTACTAGAATTTTTAAATAAATTTTTGGAGTACACATCAATGTTAGATTAGAGGGGTTTTCATTTTATATTTGTGTTCTACGGTATTACATCATTAAATTTCATTACAATGAATTCCTCAAAAATCTTGATTCGTAAGAAAAAAATTATTTGCATAATTTGTTCAAACGCGTGTAGTTGTAAACATTTTCGAGAGCTTTTATAGGTTTAAAAAACGCAGACTCTACTTAAAAAACATTTAAGAAAAATGTCCCTGACAAGCCCTAGCGTTTCGCAGTCGCGAACGTAGTGGCTTGTATATATATCAGCAACCCCCCACCATCGGCGCGTCCACCGGCAGAATTGCGCGCAGGCAGAGTCCGATAGTGGCAGTGCAGACGGATTCAGTTGCGCGCGGTGCTCCCGAGGCATCGCTTCACGTCGTCGCTCAACGAGCTTTTTCGCAGAGCGATATTCGATTCGATCGCGCGCCTCTGTAACACGTATGAAACGTCAGTTGCAGTATAATAACGTCAGTGTGTTGACATAGTGCATGTGTTTTTTCTCGATCATATCCGTCATCGTATGATTAATTTTGAAAATCTTATCATAAAATACTGCGTTGCTAATTGATCGAGCGCAAAATACTAGTGCAGTTTTTGTGTACAAGTGAAAAGCTGATTGCTATATGAAAAATTATATTGAAAAGAATTAAAAAAAATGAGAATTATTACCGAGGAGAAATAGTTTGCCTGATTTATAAAACTAGCTGTAGTGCTCTACTTTACGTGCGCAGTTGTATGCATGTGTGCTTACAAATGCAATATATTATCTTCCGAGTGAATAATAATATCAGTTCAGTGCCTGGCTTATAAGGAAAATTGTTGACAGGCACAGCGAGGGAACACATAAGCAGTAATCATCGTTCCGTCGAGGCGCAACATCGCAGCTTGCGCAGTTATTCATTATACCGAGCGTAGGATCAAGAAGGAATCATAGGTACGTGTTGCAAATGTATACATACGTAGGAACGGCTCTCCGTAATATGCAAACGTTCGGGACGACGTCGGAGCATATGGGGCAGGCTGCAAAGCATCAGCAGCTTCAGCAGCAGCAGCGGCAGAAGTGCACCGCGAACCGGGCCGTTATAATCTTCGATACGTGTGTTGAGATGGACGCGCGTGTCGAATGAGTACATGCATAAATACGAATGCAGCGCACATGCTCTTACGTGTGTGCATACAGAGCCGTTGGCGGTTTGTCTATGCAAATTCGCGCGCGCAGTGTACAGTGGCAGTGGTCGCGAGGACGACGATGATGAAGCGCGCCATACCTGCAGCGCTGCTGGTATTATGTAGCATATGCAACTAGTGTAGCCGTTCTCGTTTCTCCTTGTGCGGCGCGCATCAGTTGGCCTACGTGCACCTCGAGTAGCTGCGTTACGACCGTTACGGACCCATAGCTAAATACGCTGACGGCCCGTTAGATGAATGAGCCGCAGCTCGCCTCTCTGCACATATTCACTAAATCACCCGAAACTATACGCGATCTTCCCTCTCCCTCTTTCTCTGCCTAATTACGCGTTTCTCGAGTCGACGTACAAATATGCCTATACATCGAGTCATCAAAGTATGTTTGTGCGCTAATATTTATCAAGCGATATTATGAGCAGTTCTTGGCTGCTGCTGCACTTTTATGCGCGCGCTTTCAGATTAAAATTCTTTTGGCGTCTTTTCGAGCGAACATCGTACGCGACTGCCAATGATCACCTTTTGCTCGTTCTCATAAGCCGATGTTGCTTCTGCTGCTGCAGCTATGGCATTAAAAGAGTTAAAATATAACGAGCTTCATCCTTGTACCGTTGGCTCGGATATTTATACATATCTGCGCTGTCAGCTTTACCTCGCGGAAGATGCGTCCCTGTTTAATATACCGAAGCTTTGATACTCACACAGTATATTATAATAAAGCCAATTGTTTTCGGGATGGAGCTACGTCGATGCTGAATCAAAATTTTATCAGCTGCACAGCTAGCACAAATTTTCCTCTCTCTTCGGTGTACGAATTTCGTCGCGCTCTCGTGCACGCCCTCGCTCATTTATTATTGTTGTCGAATTCGCTCGGGGCTCGTATGTATAGCGGCGCACGGGGTGTATACACTTGTACCTGGCAGCTCGCTCTCGCTGGATAACAGTAAACAATGGATTTTTGTTATGCTCTCAATAGCTATTCATCCTTTTGGAAATTACACAAAAATATATGTACGTGTGAAATTCGTACGATTGGTTGTATGTATGATACGTGCAGGTGTATACATACGCGTGTAAGTTTTGTCGCGCGCGCACGAAAAAGAGAGAGAGACATGACACGGAGTGATTCATCCGGAATTGCACGTTTTTCTTTCTTTCTTTTTTTTTTTTTTCATGTCATTTTCTCTCGTGCATCGCTTATGACAATATTGGTTCTGGTTGTAGCAATACAACACAACAACGGCCTAATAGCAAGCTAAATATCTATAAGCGGCTCGTCATAAATCTCTCTTTACCATTTGAGACGGATAACACTTGAGAATTGCGATTCGTACCGTTTATCGGACAAGCCGCGTATATCTTTGCGAGAACTCGATTCTCTTTTATTCCAAATTCACTAATTGTTCGACACACTGATCTCGAACCAATGCAGTTAGGGTCACTGCAATACTGCCTCCTCATCAAATTTGCTGCAATGAAAATTTCTACCGGCCGGAGTATAAGCAATCGAACGTATATAGATCCAAGTTTTTTTATTTACAAGTCTACATACGCGTGGGGCTGAAGTTGCACATATACTGACTCCATAGCTGCTACATATTTACGAGATGGATCCAAAAGAGAGAGAAGAGGCCAATAACAAGCTAGCGCGCCAAGTGCGGGTGATGAATTTAGGCCGAGATTGGGTATGACTCACGAAAACCGCGGAGGATCGCGCGCACAAGCCGAAGGGAAAAGGGCGAAAGTTATTTCGCCGGCCTCTACGCGAAGATTTAGTGCTTCCATTAGAGGTTCTCTCTCGCTCTCTGTCTCTCGTGCGCGCGCAGCGAGCTTCGAAGCAGCTGAGCTTTTGCCTCCTTGTGCACGCTTATATAGCCGCCGGAGCAGCACACCGTGTCTAGCCCTTCAGTTTTTTTTTCACTTTGTTCTCTTCCTCTTTCTTCTTTCCCGTGCGCCGAGCTCTCATTCTCTCTGCCGGCTCTCTTTTTCTTATCAACTCTGGTGCGCCACGTTGCAGTACTTTATATACAACGGAGCAACACTGTCCTGGAAAGTCATAGTTTACCTGATTTATTTTTTCCCATGAGCGACAGATTTATACACGAGTAGTTGTTTAATAACGCCATTAGATCGCGTGCTCCCAGCGTACATGTAAAAGATTCGAAGCGAATCAAGTAGTTCTGACGTCTGGGAGCTGCTACTTGTATGTAATATTGCTTGTATACTGCTGCTTCTGGAACGATACACATACTTAAGCTCCGCTACGACGACGTTGATGTTAAAATTGATACGTTTTAAGGTCTGCTGCTGCACGAAACATCGTGTTTTTAATTAAGTCTCGGAAGCGAGTCGCGCTCTGATGCTGTATAGTCGCTCGTATTTATCCGTAAATATATAAGTGACGCACCGGTTTACTTGCACTATACCTGGATAAATAACGCACACAACGAAACCTGTTGAATAATTTTCGCTTCTTTGTGCGAGACTATTGAAGTACACACTTCGTCTATACACGCATATGGCCGCGATTATTATCATTATGTACCTTCATAATGCATCGAGCAAGTTTTTACCGTGACTGTTAGAAACTTTTTGCCATTTATTTATAACGCTGTGTCTGCCTACTTGGCATTTTATTATGTTTCTGTAATGTAAAATTTATCAAGCTCAGGTGCAACAATTTCGATTACAGTACGGAGAACGAAATTATATAATATCGTTTGTTTCTTCTAACACACGTTTTCTTTTTTTTTGCGGAGAACTCTGCCGAGAGCGAGGTGCGTTCGTTCGAGCGAAGATACGCGATGCTCTTGCTAGCTCCTAGAGCTGATAAATTCCAGCCCTCGCGTAACAGCCGTTGCGCAGGTATACGCGCTGCTGCTGCATATTTTGCGCAAAATATTACGAATAATAAATATGGGCTGCGACACTCGTGTGCAAACAAATTCTTACATTAGGCGCGCGCGCACGTTGTGTTTCGCGCCGGTCTTTTGGAAAAATGAGAATGCCACGACTTTAACGCGGCCATAAATCCCCGCGGCTCGAGCTTTCGCTTTAACGCCTTGCGTACAGGGCTTGTTCGCGTTTGCATATTCGGTGCTATATACGCGCGATTTCGTTTAAACTCGACCAACTGGTAAACATTACGAGCACCGCGAGAAAACTACCTGCGCTCTTTTTTCATATTATAAAGAAGCCCGCAATTGGCGCGTGAATAAGCTGGCATGGCGGTGATAATTTTGTATCGCTCCCTCCACAAATCTCAGTCAACTTCTAAATATGCGCTTGCGATGATTGGTTGTTTTTTTTCTCTCTCCGTCTCTCGCTCGCAAATGCGTTTTCGCCATTAAAGCGCCGCACGAGAGTCTGTGGCATGGTGTGTGCTTGGCGATCGGGGCATCGAGAGAAATTCATTACGACCCGTTACTTTAGCAATTTATCGCCCTATGTGCACAGTGCTGTGTAGTGAGAGAGAGAGAGAGAGAGAGAGAGAGAAAGAAAGAGAGAGCGCGAGCGAGGGAAAGTGCGCAGAGCTCGGCTCGTTTATTTTTGCATCCCATACAGACACGATCATTGGTTGTCGTCTATCTTTCTTAATAGCCATGGACGTTGACGTTAACTATATACATTTACCTATAGGAAGCTTTTTGCTGGCGCGACGTTCGGAGATACTCGGCTCGCTTAATTTCACGTTTCCCTCTTTGAATCCTTATGGACAATATTGTGTGGAGCGCGAGGTCGAGTCGCGAAAAAGCGTCGTGATTCAACCGTATACCGTCAAAGTGCAGCGCAGCGGTAGCAGCTGCGAGCCTCGACGCTTTTTTGCACGAGCTAGTATAGCGATCTACTTGCCGGCTAGATGGAGTGTGCTGCGTTGTCAGCCACCGCTACACGGCCGGATCTATTAAATTCGATCTTGGCCGATCCGACTCCCGATCACGTGTGGAATTTTAATTTCGCGCTGGGAAAATAATTGTTCTATATATTTTCGTATAGAGCAGCAGCGGGCAGAAGCAGCCAAGCTGAGATATAATTAACGACGAGGCAAACGAATTAACGACTTGTACATACACGCTATAGAGGTAGATAGCATCGCGAGGACTTTTAAATGAAATTAATGGCCAAGTAAGCAGATCCAATCAATAATTCAGCATCTTCCGCTCTCTCTCTCTTTCTCTCTCTCTCTCTCTCTCTCTCTCTGTCTCGAGACTTTTATACACATATATGATGCCGTACATGCGAGTACCTGAATACTGCGAGGCGCTGGATGCATTTGCTGTGTATGAGTATGTACAGGCGCAATACACGCGGACGGACTTTATGCAGCTCGAGCGAATGTTTGGCATTATTGGCTAATGGATTCGTGCGATTAGAGACGTTTAGCGCGCGTCGCTCCATTATCGCACTACGTTTTAGGTATATACGGTTGAGCCGGCCCGACCGCTAATGCTGCACCCTGCGGACCGGCTTTGGCGCGAGCAGTGCAGCTATATAGGTATATATATAAAATAACGCGCGCCTAGTGTGCGGTCTGGAGCGCTGCAGCTCCGCCGGTGGCGAGCGACGCCCGACGTAATTAAAAAACTTCTCCTAATTGCAGCTTTAAAAAATCATTCCTTCCTCTCGTTCTCTTTCTCCGTCTTACGCTCGCGACTATACGTATATAGCGCGTATGCAGTATGCAGTCGAGCGGCTTATTCTTTTTTGTTTGGACTTTGCGCGGCGAACGTCGATCAGAGAGTATACGTC